AGTAAGATATCTGAAATATAGAGGGCGGACCTTTAAATATACTGCGTTTTAAGGTCCGCCCAGTCTCTTTCTCTCGTTTGTATGCTACGAAAATAAACCCCGTTCAAAATTTTCGCCTTGTAATAGTAAGATATCTGAAATATAGAGGGCGGACCTTTAAATATACTGCGTTTTAAGGTCCGCCCAGTCTCTTTCTCTCGTTTGTATGCTACGAAAATAAACCCTGTTCAAAATTTTCGCCTTGTAATAGTACGATATCTGAAATATAGAGGGTGGACCTTTAAATATACTGCGTTTTAAGGTCCGCCCAGTCTCTTTCTCTCGTTTGTATGCTACGAAAATAAACCCCGTTCAAAATTTTCGCCTTGTAATAGTAAGATATCTGAAATATAGAGGGCGGACCTTTTATTATATTGCGTTTTAAGGTCCGCCCAGTCTCTTTCTCTAATTTTTATGCTACGAAAATAAACCCTGTTCAAAATTTTCACCTTGTAATAGTCAGATGTCTGAAATATAGAGGGCGGACCTTTAAATATACTGCGTTTTAAGGTCCGCCCTGTCTCTTTCTCTCGTTTGTATGCTACGAAAATAAACCCTGTTCAAAATGTTTTCTTTCTTATGGTAAAATATCTGAAAAACAGAGGGCAGACCTTTTATTATACTGCGTTTTAAGGTCCACCCTGCCTCTTTCTCTAGTTTTTATGCTATGAAAATAAACCTGTTCAAAATTTTCGCCTTGTAATAGTACGATATCTGAAATACAGAAGGCGGGGCTTTTATTATACTGCGTTTTAAGGTCCGCCCTGCCCCTTTCTCTATTTTTCATGCTACAGAAAAAAACCCTGTCTATAATTTTCTCTTTGTAATAAATAGATCAAAACGGGGGATTAAGGTTTTACATAGGAATATCTAGGAAAAAGTCTTCAAAAATCTTCTTCTTAAGAACAACAATGTCATGATTAGTCATATTAATATGGAAGCATCATCAGTTAGTGTAGATGTACGTTTGTTCGAATCATGACCCCCGGGTTAGGGTGGGGTCACAATGGGGGATCAAAGTTTTACATAGGATATATATATATATATATATATATATATATATATATATATATATATATATATATATATATATATATATATATATATATATCGAAAAATCTTCTCCACAAGAACAGCAAAGCCATCTTTAGTCAGATTGATATGGAAACATCCTCAGTTATTGTAGATTCAAATTTGTTTAAACCATGATAACAGGTCATATAAAATTAATTTTCCGCCGGAATATGGCTGAAATATAGCCGACTCGGCGTTAAACCCTAATCAATCAATCAAACCATGACCCCCTAGGGGTAGGATGAGCCACAATGCACTATGAGGGTTTAGCATGTGAATGTATAGGAAAAAAATTCTAAAACCTTTTTTCCAGGAACAACAAAGCCATGTTTAGTCACATTGATATAGAAGTATCTTGAGGTAGTGTAAATTCAAGTTTGTTTAAATCATGACCCCGAGGATAGGGTGGGGCTAGCGCTATATCTATAAAAATCATGACACCTGGGGTAGGGTGGGGTCACAATAGTGATTAATGTTTTACATTGGAAGATATGTTAGAATAAATTTGCTGATGAAAAACAGCAGGGCCTTATTGACTCAGGTGAGCGTTGTGGCCAATGGGCCTCTTATTTTATGTCAAGGTCTTGGAAAATCGTAGGACGATTCTTTTATAAAAGGCAGTGATGAATCTGAATGTATAATGGTAGTACAATGTATATTTATCTAGAATATATTCACCACATACAATCAAAAGATATGTTCAGATTTATTATCCATGTATATCGCAAAAATGTTGTGTTAGAATGATCATTAGTTGTACTGTATCCGTATCTATAGACTTTGATTCATATAGCATGAAAAAGAGGGAGTATTTGTTTCTGTATTCATACAATGAATTGGGAAAATAATCACCTTAAAAATAAGAAAGGGGTTCATCAACACTACGTACATAATGTATGTGGTAAATGCCTCGTGTGACAAGTAAAAAGAAATCTGTAATACACCAGATGGTGTTTATTTTCTACGTACTTGATACGCAAGGAGCAGATGGAAATTTAAAGAAGGTGTTATTGCCACCCCTCCCCCTCTTCCTCACCTGAGATGCAATGTATTACCGGAAATTTCTCTAGCCACTACCGAAATTATTCATATAACATGCGCAGATCGGGGGGGGGGGGGAGTCGGGGGAACCCCCCCCCCATCTGGAATTTGCAGAGTTATTAAAAGTATATACTGAAGTAAATAAAAAATGACTTTGGGCCCCCTTAGAAAACGTGGACCCTACCATCACCACCACGAAATAGGTGTTTTTCACGTTTTGGAAATGGAATTGGATTTTACGTTTTTTTTTTTTCTTCCTTGTCAAGAAATTTTTGGGTTAGAATTTTTTTTGACTGGGATCCCCCCCCCCCGGAAAAATTCTTGATCCGCGCCTGTATAATCATTATTCAAAATTGTGAGGTAATATCCGAAACAACATATGTGCAATGTATAGCATTTATGAAAATCGAACTTCAAAAATTCTGTCATGACTACATGAGACCGATTGTATTATTTCCTCCATGGTTACCACGGAGAACGACCGAGGACTTTGAAAAGGATAATTTAAGGAGATTGGCAAAGTTCCTAGCTTTCGTAAAGAATTGTTCAAAAACTCTTGAGCAGGTGTAGTGGTACTAAACAATACACTTTATTGGTTTTCACCGCGTAGAAAATTCTACACGGGAGATCACTCTCAATCAAGCTCCAGACAGCTCAGTATTACTCCATATCATTATTCGTAGGGAAAGAAGTCCCGGAGAGTATGGAGTATGACTCTCAGTCATACTCCATACAGTGTCAATTCTCCGGGACTACTTGGTATGGAGTTGTAGCGTAACGTAATACTGAGCTGTCTGCAGCTTGGACTCTCATGATGGAAAACCCCATGAATTACCTTTTTTTCTCCGGATAACCGTGAGTTGCCGTTTTCCATAAATGAATAAAATAAATAATCATAAATAATCAGCGTTTTATAAAAGAAATATATTTTTGATTTAAAATTAGACTGAAACGCTTCTAGTCGACATCACGAAAATGTACATATCATGTAGCTTGAAATGGGAAATATGACGCACGCTTGACAACGTCCCCAGAAACAATCAGTCAGTATATTTCTGGGTGCATTTGTGGGGGGGGGGGGGGTTATAGCACAAATTAATGTAGAAAATAGAAATTCCTTGATACGCAAAAAAAGGAAGAGGATCAACTGATGTTCCCTCCCCCTTCCCCCGTTCATACAGACGTGAGATACATAAATGACTTGTATATAGAACTGGACATTCAACTTTGCCCAAAATGCTTCATGTCGGTAATAAAAGAAAATATTTTACAATAATGATTTCAAATTTTAATCTGTCATACAATACAGCCTGCTAGATTATCCCACAGTCTGTCTATTATAGTCACAGTAAAATGTGTAATTTCTTTTTCTTTTGGAAAAAAAAAATACAAAAATGAAATATTATTTCATATGTAGTTCATTATGACGAGGAAGAGTGATATTTCTATAAGAAAGAATTAAATCCAAACCATGATTATACTTTAAATCTGATGTATATGTTTTCAATATTGAATTACCTGTTTTAAGCTTTAACATTACATGTATTTTGTTTGTGCAGTAAATACAGATCGAATACAACATTAGGCTATATATTACCCTATCCACAAATAAAGGGCAAAATATTATCATAAACTGAAAACAAGTTAATTGTTAAAACTAAAGGGAAGCATATACATATTTTTATTTTTTATCGGTCTTAGTATTAAACTCTACATGCACTTGGAATAAGAAATTTCTTTAAATATTGTAATAAAAATAGACTATATATAATTATATCACAATTTTGATGTGTACGCATGAATATCATAATAGTATTATAATTTCTTCTTCAGCATAATTTATTAAAATAGAGAATTCATATCTATTGATTTAAAGCAAACACATGACCATTACATTGTCATTGCTATCTGCCGCGGGCTCTACCAGCAGATACCTGTCAGGTATACGAATACTTCACACCCCCATTGTTTTATTGCCTATACACACCGGCAGATTTCACACCTTTAATCATCCTAATTTACACAAAGCAAATGCTGGGGGAAAACAAACACAAGCCCAATAAATGCGATATTTTTTTTTAAATCATTGCCCTAAACGGTATTGCTAAAAGCACACTAAACATGGAGTAGCAATTCCTGCCCTAAGAGATATATTGTACAAAAAAATAAACACAACAGCTAGGGCAAATCCTTAATCTTTCTTCATATGATGTAAACAAACTCTCTTTAATTTTATGTGTTTAAGTCAAGATTAAAACATTTTGCACCACCCGGACCTTTAAACTTAGGCGGACCTTTTCTTATACGGGCCGGACCTTTTCTTATAAAAGGCGGACCTTATATGTTATCGTATTAGGTCCCCCCGGACCTTTAAACGAGGCGGACCAAATATTATGCGACACCGGTCTTTCTCTGTTTTCCACGGAACCCCTTTCAGCATTCGTTTTACAACCTTCTGTATGGAATTTGGACTTATTCCGATAATTTCCGAAATTTTCCGGCTACTTAAACCACTCTCATTCAATTTAATTATCGTCTGCTTTTGCTCGAGTGAAAGGTCTTTCCCCCTCGGAGCATCAACTGGCATACGGGGGCATCATGAACACATCTTATTTTTAACAAACCAGTAGAGATACAATCTCGTCAGAGACTTTTGGTTTAAGGATGGCTATAAGATATTGATGTCTGACTCCTAATAGCACTAGTTTATTTGTAAGTAACGAGTACCCGCCCTGAAACCAATCAATGTCATCTAAAACGCATTTTCCGGATTCTCAAAGTTCGTGATAATCTTTTAAATTTAGTGTTGAATGTGCTGTTTCCGGTTTGAGCGTTTGTCAAAATAATCAACTCGGAACTCTTACTCAGTTACTGTCTTAGTGTCTAAGGTAAGATCGTAAGTTATATATTATATTACATTCTTTGTAAAAATTATGAACAAAAATCGTTTATTTTAATATTACACAAGAATTTCTTCACCATTTTATTAAATGAAGGTATTGGATTTCCTTTGAAATCAACACAAGCACAATTTCAACTGCGTTCTTTTCTCATCAGCAGTGATCAGTTACAAAAATCTGTATCTCGGGACAGTCGGCCGGGGGCAGACGCGGACGGGCCCACAAAAAAATAAATTACTTCTCATATTGTTGCAATGAAGTAAAACAAGTTTGATTGATTTGTTCCAGCACAAGTTCGGAGAATAACAAATGGTGTTGAAATGAAATAACCAGCAAACTTTTGAAGTTGTACATGTATGTACCTTCCACCAACAAATGTAATCCATTAAGAAAAACCAGCACATTTTCCCAACGTTTTTTTCTTACTTCAAATTTATCTCCCATGTTGACATTGTGAACTTTGTGATAATGGATGAGAATGTCTGTCCAAGTTTACATTTAGTTACCTAGCTTACACAACAAATGAATATTCTGTCATTAAACCAGGTCCGTAGAACAACATTATTTTAATGATGGAATATTTTATATGTATCTCTTGACCTGAAGACAAAGTTTATTTTTTCTCTCATAAAACTTCTCCTTATCAGGGCTCTACATTAACTTTTTTCCCTACTTGTCCGAACTTCATTTTCACTTGTCTGAAAATTTTTCAATAAAGATCTAATACTGTCAACTTGAAAACTAAATTAAAGTCCATTACATGTGCTTGATTGATTCATGATGTTATTGATAAATACAACAAACACAACAATAGGGCTGAAACGATTCACCGAAATATCGGTGTTGTTCAATATTACTGCTCGGTTCAATGTTCGATTCACTATCTTGATTTTCGGATCGGTACGTTTTTTTTTATAATCGGGTTTTGTTACTCCTTGAAATAGATTGGGTTCGACCTCATTTTAATAGTTTGACACACGAGGGAGAAAATTGCGATGGAGAAAGTTTCAGAGCAGGCTGCCACTGCTAGTAATGACACGAACACGAAAGTGCTCTTGTAAGCTACAGAAGCACAAGTAGTGCTCTTTATTGTATCACTACCTTTTACTTGCCTTTTGAAATCTGAATACATATTTTCTTTAATCTTATGATTTGTTTCTTTTTTAAAATGTATCGTATCGTGGCGTATCGTGAAGTGGGCGTATCGTTTCAGCCCTACACAACAAACAAAATTTTATCTAGACTTTCTGTCCTGACAACATGGACAACAACAAAATTGTTCACAAGGGAAACAGTCAACATCAAACAGAATCCAAACTTCGTATGCAGTAGTAGGGCTATGCAATTAGTGAACTTCGATCCTGATTGAGTGTGAACTCAATTACATAGCGATTCATATTAGGGCTGTCACGGTTCCAAAATTTTTCGGGTCGGGTCGGGTCTGTAAATTTTCGGTTCGGTTTCGGGTTTTTCGGGTCGGGTATTTACATCTATTTTAAACCTTAATTTCATGAATTTAACTTGAAAAATCTTTATTTGCTACATTAAATTTACATTGAAAACAAGTCTTAACCATGCGAACGTCTAGACATCGGTGACTTGGCCTACTATTAGTCACAACCTGACCATTCCTGCTCGTTTTGATAATTATCTAACACTTCCGTGACAAGTGTTTTGTCATGGAATGAACTAAATTTCAGTTGTGATGTTTATTTATCACTGTTATTGTCATCATTCCTTTGATTTCAATGCCATTTTTTGCATTGAACAGACTCTAATATATAAACCAGACCCGAACCGAAATCCGGAAAAATGGAACCGGAACCGAACCGAACAACTTGGACTGCGGTTCTCGGTTATTTCGGGTACTCGTGACAGCCCTAATTCATATCGGGATCAAAGTTCAGTTTTTATCATGTTTATGTACTGCTTCTGTCTTTTAACTAAACTTTCAACAGTCGTTCTTTTTATTATTTGGAGACTTCTATACATGCACTTGTCCAGTGGTTCTTGAGAAGAATTTTATTCACTGGTGTCAAACAAGCGGAGAAGCGTTAATGTTGACTCTTTTGTCGAGCCTAGGCCAGCTTATAATGTTTGCTGTACAATGCCTTTAACCAGCTCATTGAATTCCCTCTTAACGATAAAGTCTAAAGTTGGCTTGTCCATTTGTTTTATTTTCAACCAAATTTGCCACAAAGCATCCTCAAGTGAAGGCATTCAAATTTGTTCAATGAAGGACCACGCCCTCTTTCAAGGGGAGATAATTCAGAAATAGTGAAAATTTGGTGGCATCTTTTAAAAATCTCCTTCTCAAGAACCACTGGGCCAAAGAATTTCAAACTTATTGGAAACCTTCTTTACGTAGTATAGATTCAAATTTCTTCAAATGATGACCCCAGGGTGTGGCCACAATGAGGGATCAAAGTTTTACATAAGAATATATAGGAAAAAACTTTTAAAATCTTCTTCTTAAGAACAGCAAAGCCATTGATTAGTCATATTGATATGGAAGCATCCTCAGGTAGGGTAGATTCAAGTTTGTTCAAATGATAACCCCTGGGAGTAAGGTGGGGCCACAATGGGGGATCAAAGTTTTACATAGGAATTTATAGGGAAAAAAAACTTTTAAAATCTTCTTCTCAAGAACAGAAAAGCCATGTTTATATATATGAATATGGTAGCATCCTCAGGTAGTGTATATTCAAATTTGCTTTACTTTATATCATGACCCCCAGGGATAGGGAGGAGCCACAATGGGGGATCAAATTTTTCAAAAGAATATATTAGGAAAAAATCTTTTAAGAAATCTTTAAAAATCTTCTGTTCAAGCACAGCAAATCAGTTAGTTACATGTATATTGATTTGGAAGCATCCTCAAGTAGTGTAAAATTTAAGTTTGCCAACCTCCCCTCCCACCCCACCCCCATATAAACTTTTCAATACTGAACTGATTTGAATGGCTTTTTCATAGAAAATGTGCTCAGGTGAGCAATGTGACCAATAGTCCTCTTGTCATTTCTGTCATTTATTTTATTTATTTTTTTTTTTACATATATCTGGCTTTTTTTGTATTTTCCCATCAATTTAATGTTACCTCATCCATTAGTTGGAGGTAAAAACCTGCTCAGGGGGAGGTGGATTATAGGATTTTGAGCTGGTCTGGGTAAAAAAGCAGTTACTTTTCAGTATTGCAGGCATATTTTTATGAAGCTACTGGGTATCTTACAAGGATAGTGCTGATTTCTTCCACAGGCACCTGACACTACTTATTTTTCTTTTAATAAAAAAAATATACCCCTACCTAATTATTAGGTAGGGGCCCCCTAGATGTACTAGGGGGAATATTTTTTTTATTAAAAGTAAAATAAGTAACGTCAGATGCCTGTGCTTTCTTCATATCATTCAGCTACAGATTTTCCTCATTCATACTGAGGATTTCAGTTATAGCAATCGGAATTCAAGATTTCAAGATATATTGCCCTATAGTTTTCTCTTGCAAACAGTGAGCTTTAGTTTTCTGGACATTTACCTCCAACATACCTCCATGTTGGTTTTGTTTGGATCCCCAAAGGCAAACCATCTTAATTCGTAGTTATAGATGTGTAGCATTTTTTTCCCCTGTGCTACTTTTGAACATTTATTTGATGTATCCATTCTGTAAAAAAGCTTTTTGTTTTTAAAGAATTCCCTCAATGATGAGAGCTTTATTTCCTCTATTGGTTTCTGTGTATTACATCTTTCACATAAACTATCTGATCTCAAACTTAAACTGAGTGAATATATTGATTTGATAAGGATTGGCAAAAGTTCACCAACACATGTTCCCTGGGGTGAAATCTACATTACCGGGGTAGTTTCTTTAAGGGCAAGTAAAGTTTATTATTTGGATAAGAATGATTTATTTTATAATTTTTTTAAACGGAAAGTCTCCATTTTAATTTTATTGCTAGAAAAGTACTATTTTATAAATGCCAGGTATAAAAAGTACAAACTCCAGAAAAGAAAAGAAGTAGATTTTAAAAATGCATGAAATGAAATGCAGCAGTATAATCCCAGTTCAGTAAATAACTATATACAGTTATTTACCCACTCAGATCATAATCATTCAGTTAGGTCAAACACATTTGTATGTAACCACCTGTTATTGGTACTATCAATAGAATTGAATAATACAATATTACTGCTTTTGATGAAATTTAATTATTTAAATCTTTTATAAAAGAGAGAAAATGACACGACACTCCAGGAATTGTACTGCTGGAACAGTATACTCATATCATGAACGACAGAAGGACACAAACCAATCAGGATATGGGTCAAAGAAATCAAGGCTTGGCAAAGACTCTATAAAGGTAAGAAAGCAGTGTAACAGAGTATCAAACTAGAAGCTAATACAACAATAATGTCTTTGTAATCATGGTAATACACATAGATCTATTGGGAATATAAAAAATAAAGAAAAGGAGAAAACACTCACCCTAATCCCTCCTCTTCAAAAATTTTTTTAGTGCAACGTAGATTTTAATTTATAAGATACAGGTACAAGTATAGACAATTAGAGAGAGTTCTGTCAGCTGCATATACCCCCCCCCCTTTTACCCTCACTATATTGTGATATATCACATGACTGTTGATTACTTAATTAATTAAATGGATGTTTTAATTTTAATATGAACTGTTGCACAAAAATATTGCGTCTGTGCAAAGAAAAATAACATAACCATGATAACAGAGAATTTGGTATTTCATGTAATTTTAGTAAACTGACTGCATTCAACTCTACCTGAAAAAATCTTCAAAAATTGCTAATTAAGTCATCCAGAGATTTACTTGTGTACAAAATATTTTTTGAATATTTCAATTCATCCTGACATTTTAGGATATTTTCCACTCTGCCTAAAAATTTATGCATAAGAGAGGCAATGAAAAGAGCTTTCTCAAGGACGATTCAGTTAATGAACATACTTTTCCCATGGATTTTCACAGAATCTCAGTAGTTAATCCTTATTACATCCACTTATTTCTTTTGAACAAATAAAATGTAAATTAAATTTTCCTTCTAACCTTGAACATGTAACCATGCAAAACATCTCTCAAACTTTAATATTTATTTGTCATATTTATTACACTGCTTGCCATTTAAGAGGTTGTTGTGAATGTTCAATGAAACAACAATTGAACCTATCCTCAAGCTATAGTAAATAGAATAGACAAATAAGTTTTACAGAAATTAAATGTATAAATTAATTTGACAGAGATGTTGATGCAGTACATAAAAAAAGTTATTCCACTCTCCCTCAATGTCACTTTTAAAAGTTGTGGAGTTGTGGTGTTATTATTCCAATTTGACCTATTGTCTTATTGAAATGACTGAATTGAAGCATCCTATATCCTACAGATGTATACTTATCGTCTAGTTAACTTAATGGGGGATACAAGACAATTATCATGATTATATTTCATGAATAAATGTATTTGCCATGTTTTGTGAAAAAATTAGAGAGATGCAAAATTTAAGTGATTTACATGATTATAGGTGGGGAATGTTGAAAAAAGATTTTGTTTTAAAGGAAATAGTTTTTCTGATGAGAAAATTAAATTGTTGTACAATTACTGATTCACAAAAATGTACTTTGTTGTATATATTTACATATACTGTCGGACATTGGTATCTTGAACACTGATATCTCAAATACCATGGATTCGTCAAAGTGATTTGGAAGTCCCAACCATTTATTCTAGGATTTTGACTGCTGTATTTTACCTTGAATATCGAGAATCCTCAGATATCTTGAAGTTTTTCTCTTGGCCTCATCTAGGTGGAGATAACAAGGAATGACTGTAATTATTTTAATATATGATTAAAAATTAAATTTTGACAGGATTTTGACTGCTGTAACCTTACACTACAGCCCTGCCGAAACCCAGTTGTTACGTAAGTTTTCATTATATAACATTCTGTGTGTAAAGAATATAATAAGCATTCATTACAACTAATGGATGTGATGAGAGGAAAAACCCAGCAGAAATAAACATGTTAATTTTGTTTTGTAACCGGTCTACATTTATTTTGTAAAATTAATTATTATAGGGAAAAAAGCTTTATTAAGCATGCCCCATGAAAACAATATTTACAAAATATTCTTCAGGGTACAGATTATGAGCCTTGTAGCCTTTTTCTGAAATTTGTTGATTGTAGCCTTTTTTTAATTTGTTGATTGCAGACAGGATGGATATTTGTATGACAAGGAATCAATTCTGGAGTATATATTGAAAAAGAAGAAGGAAATTGCTCGTAAACAGAAAGAATATGAAAAACAGAAAAACAGAGAAAAGGTGACATTTATTTTTAGATTGGCAAATACTCAAACAGCTTTATTAAAATTATCCAAAGAAAAATCATTTTGGAAAATAATGTGTGGGAACCTATAGATACCAAATAATACAAATGTATTGTCTACTGTATAAAAGCTTGGTATGGGCCAGGGTGGGGGGCAGCACCAACATGGAATAGGGAAGCATTTGGGAACATCTCTAATGACCCCCATTACAATTAGCATAGTTCTTGAGCTTGTCAGTAAATCAGCTGACAATGTGTCATTACTTCAGTACCCTTAATTTGAATGAATTCAGGTTCAATGTTTTTTCCCAGGATATAGGCATGATGTGTAACCTTCAAAGAAGGAGAAAAATGATCCGAAATTAAACTAATTTTGATATTTGTAGTGTAGCCTTTGTGTGATACATACAGCAGTTCTCTGTTATAACAAGTTTAATATTTTCTATCACAATAAAAATTTGCTGCAAGTAATTTTTAAATTCAATGTAGTCAAAATCATGTGTAAAACATTTATTAGATACATTTATATGTAATTAAAGACCAATTTAAAGGTCATTAAGTATTGGCCATGCAAAAACGGAAGGGTGGGAGAGATATCTGTCCCCCAGTTTATTTTTATTAAAGTATAGCTATATGATTCTGTAAGAGTGATCAAATTCTAAGCCGCTTTATTATTTTTGTGATCAAATGTTACAGGAAGAACTTGCAGAATTAGCCAAAGCTGAAAGTGAAACACAGAAGCAGGAATTTATGTCAGCAAATTCTCAAGCTCCAGTCACCAAACAGACAGGCAAGGGGATCTTATAATCTTCAGTCATATCTGTGAACTGAAGAGCTATTTGGAAATGAAACATACAGTCATTCATACTTTTTTAAGATGCTTGTTTAATGGTTACCATAAATGTGTTTATGTAAAACCAAATTTATGCACAGTCCTATGTGTGAGATATATATCTTGTAGGTGATAAACCATCAACTTCAAGTATCAGCAATATGCAGGAGGGTAAAAATAAAGCCCTCCCAAGTTTTTGGATTCCCTCCATGACTCCAGCTGCTAATGCCACAAAGATGGACAAACCAGTGAGTAACTGTACTTAAGTTTTAATGAGGTATCTGCTAATGCTTCAAAGATGGACAAACCTGTTAGTAACTGTACTTAAGTTTTAATCAGGTGTCTGCTAATATGTTACAAAGATGGACAAATTTGTGAGTAAATGTACCTAAGTTTTAATGAGATATCTGCTAATATGTTACAAAGGTAGACAAACCTGTTAGTAACTGTACTTAAGTTTTAATGAGGTACATGTATCTGCTAATATGCTACAAAGATGGACAAATTTGTGAGTAACTGTACCTAAGTTTTAATGAGGTATCTGCTAATATGTTGCAAAGATGGACAAATCTTTGAGTAATTGCATCAAAGTTTTAATGAGGTATCTGCTAATGATACAAAAATGGACAAACCTGTGAGTAACTGTACTTAAGGACATAGGACATACACAACATACCTTACCTACTGATAATTTTTCAAGATATTTTTGATTTAAGATTATAGTACCATCAGATGTTCGTAGACAAAAAAATCAGCATGCATTACCAGGGGTTTTGAAAAAGTATCAGTTGATGAAAATTCTTGTATAATTCAAAGAAAAATTTCTAAACATATATTCTAGATGTTTTGTTTATCCAACTTGTTTTAGAAGAAGTGTACAACAGCATATATAGACATTAAAATGAAGCACACAGTTCCTTTAAGTATTGGAACTCTTCAACTCCAGGGAAAAAGATAATTAAGTTCAAACTATGTTGCATATGTCCTTAAGTTTTATTGAGATATCTGCTATTAATGTCACAAAAATGGACAAGCCTGTAAGTAACTATATTTCAGTTTTAATGAGGTATCTGCTAATACTGTATGTGTACATAAATTGGCGTATTCAGAAGAACTACGCACGCTAACTCTCGATTCCTGCCTACATTTTACACCCATTTAATTCAATACTAATTTGGCCATAAAATCTTTCTTGAATGCAAAGAACAGTTCAATAGTAATTGACTGATAATTTTAATGCCATGCAGTGTTAAATAGTTGATTACCCCTAATTCCAGCTCTTTAAATTAGGGGGTAGACATTATTTTTCATTGAAATCAGGCTTTAAAGCATCAACACATTTTAAAATGTTCTTGGATATAATAAATGTTCCTTAAATCTTTTCTTATGTTTTACAAATATAAAATTAAACATATATTATTAATAAAATACAATGTTTAGTTGTAAAACCCTTTGAAATTGGTGAAAAAATAAGCATTTTTGTAGTTTTTTGTCTGTAAACATATGCTCCCCCCCCCCCCCCCCCCCATGAAACACAAAAAGCTTTGGTATGAATTTGTGAAATGACCGTCCATATTACCTTTCAAAACGAATTTTTGTTTCGGGGGGGGGGGGGGGGGGGGGGGGAGATGTTCTAAAAATATTTTCCGTTTTCCATTGATTTCCATAGTGAAAAACACAAGTTTTACCAAAATTATAGAGTTATCTCTCTTTGTTTTCCCAAAGAAGTAATGTTTTATGAAAAGTCATATAAATATCTATATAAATATGAAAAATCATTCAAATGTGTTAACTTTTGAAAATTGACTTGGAGGTAGGCAGGAGAACAATATTACCGTTCGCAGTTCTTTAGCACAATCACTGGGTATAGAGTTGTTGGTGAAATCATGAATTAGCGCTATACATGTCTGTGCCGTTTATTGTATTTATAAATGATTTCTTAGTGGTATTCATGAATTAGCGCATCATCTGAGCCAAAGCCGCTAAAATATGAAGCTCGCTTTTTTAAGTACACATACAGTATGCTCCAAAAATGGAGAAACCTGTGAGTAACTGTACTTAAGTTTAAATGAGGTATCTGTTAATCCTGTAAGTAACTGTACTTTTTAATGAGGTATTAATTTCAAATGAACCCACATTTAGTTATGGGGAGAGAATGTAAATACATGTACTTGTATGCTACACTCTTCTTATTTGTATAGGTTAAATTTATGAATAAGATTATTCCCACTTTACTGTAAACTAAATTTTCACAGGTGCAGGGTGTAGGGACACACATTATCAGTCATACTTTGAATGTTGTAGTTGTATATTCTCTGGATTAAGTTGCCTGGTTAACATGATTGAAGCAGGTCTGTTCCTAAATATTTGTACATGTAACTCCTACCTGGACCTCCATGCATGGATGATGCATTTAGGGATGCCTATTAAAGTACTAATTTGCTTCAGATGCTGTATTTTACAGATTTTTAAATGTTTGCAAAATTCTTACATGTAATAATGAAAATAATTAATGTACCTTAATGAACATAATTATGAGATTGTGCCTCTTGTAGTCATTGACTTGAGCTTATAACATTTGATTACTGAATGATTATGTCTTTGTGATACTGTTGTTTAACTTCAGTTTTATATATAGAAAGCACAAGTTAATTTTTTCAAACAATTTTTCCATGTAAATGTCAGACTGTTGTATAACTAAAAAATTCAAGGCTATAGGAAGCTTTATCATGGCTATAAAAATCAAAGGCCTTTTCTCTAATGACCTGGGGATGAATTACTTGGGATTGTTCTGTAATGTAAAGATGAAAGCAAACATATTTTCCAAAGAATATGTTGAAAATGTTGAAAACTTTTAAAGTTATTTTAAAAAAAATGCTATAAAACAAGGGTTGAAATAGTCACACCTAAGGGTATTTTCAGATTGTGTGTCCATACTTACATTGCAATAATCATATATAAAAAATAAAGGAGTAAAAATTATAAATAGTTAGATAGATTTACATCCTCAAGTCATGCATAATTATAGTTGGATATAGATGTGTTACGTTAGTCATAATTAGGGCTAGAAAGTAATTTTTAATTATTGATTTACAGTCAATATAGATATACATTGTCAACATAGATTTACATCCTCAAGTCATGCATAATTATAGTTGGATATAGATGTGTTACGTTAGTCATAATTAGGGCTAGAAAGTAATTTTTAATTATTGATTTACAGTCGAGTCAGACAAAATTTTATTTTGCTGGTCATGATATGATAAATATATAATCTTATATCAATTCTTCCATTAACAAGGGAAAATGAAAATTATAAAGAAAATCACTGGTCCATCTGATATATGGTCAAAATTTAAAGTTTGCAAACCCTGGTCATAATAAATGCTATCCCTTTTTAGCCCATATTATGATACATATTCCCTGTAATACATTCAGGAACATGTATAATCAGAACTCATGACGGAATAAATAGAGGTAACATTTGGTAGTTTATGTAACAATGATTTTGTTACTTCTCAGGATGAAAAAGTCAGATGTCCCATGAGTGGAAAACCAATCAAATTAAAAGACCTTTTTCCAGTTCACTTCACCCCGATCAAAGATCGTGATGAGAAGACAGCTTTAATTTCAAAACAGGTAGGTATTTTTTCTCTATTTAGCATTTCATCTATATATTAAGAAATGTAGAGCAATGACATAATTAATTTTTAAAAGTAGGGGATAGATGTAAAAAATTGCTACAGGGACAAAAAAATCTATATAGCCATCTTTAAAAATATGTTCGCTTGCCCTTTCTCGACTCAGAATAAAAAAAAATTGGTTAGGTGAAAATTTTTTTTTACTCAAATACACTTGCGAAATTAAGTTAAAATAGTTAATAATGGGATGAAAAAGCTTCAAAATGAATAAAAAAATAATTGTTTCCTGAAGGTTAAAAAACATTGAGTCTGGCCATTTTTAGTCAGTCCGTTGGGAGAGAGCAAACAAACAATTTTTAGGTCACCTGAGTCACTCATGTCACCTATTGCTATCTGTTTTCATCCGTCTATGTGCATTGTGCATTAATATTAGAACATTTTCTGCTTCTTTTCTGCAACTTCTGAAACAATTTCAACCAATTTTGGCTTAGAACATCTATGAGTGAAGGGGAACAAAAATTACATGGTCCCTGCCCCCCTGGGGCCTTAGGGGTGGGCCAAAACCATCCAAATGAGTGCAATCTTTAAAATTCTTCTTCTTTACTCCTGGACATCAAGCAGTCAAAGTGTTGGCATGATTGTAATGAGCATTGAGCCCTCTACCAAAATTTTGAAATTCATGGCCCCAGGATAAGGGGTTTTGGAGTTAAGAGTGGGGCTCTATTGAGCTTGTAGTGAAAATGCATATTTTTTTTTAAAATTCCTTTTCTCTCTCCCCTGTATATAAAGCAGGTAAAGTAAGTACCGGTATATGGTTATGATGATCAGTGGTGCCTCTTCCAAAATTGTGAAATTTGTGGCCCCAGGGTGAGGGGTTCTGCAGGAAGGGGGGAGGCTCTATTGATTATATAGTGAAATTGCATTATTTCTTTGAAAACTTCTCTGCCCCTAGGTAGTTAGCAGATAATTCAAGTATATAGTTATGATGAGCAAGGGCACCACTTCCAAAATTATGAGTATCTTGACCCCTGGGTCATGTGTTCTGGTGTTAGGGTGGTGATATTTTGAGCATGTAGTGAAAATACATAAATTTTTTAAAAATCTTCTCTCATCCTGTATATATAAAGCAGATAAAATAAGTGCATGGTTAAGATAATCAAGGATGCCTCTTCCAAAATTATGAAATTTGTGGCTCCAAGGTCAGAGGTTCTGCAGGAAGGAGTGGGCTCTGTTGATTATATAGTGAAATTGCATTATTGCTTTGAAAATTTTCTTCTCTGCTCCTAGGTATTAAGTAGATAAACCAAGTGTAACATTATGATGAACAAGGTCGTCTCTTCCAAAATTGTGAATATCTTGGCCCCTGGGTCAAGGGTTCTGGTGTTAGGGCAAGGCCTTGTTGATCATGTTGATAAAATAGTGCAATTGCATTAATTCTTTGAAAATCTTCTCTGCTCCTGGGTATTAAGCAGATAAACTAAGTGCATGGTTATGAGGATCAAGGATGCCTCTTCCAAAATTGTGAAATTTGTTGCCCCAGGGTCAGGGTTTCATGTGAGGGGTGTTCATTGAATATATAGTGGAAATGCATTATTATTTTTTTTTTGAAAATCTTCTTCTCTGCCCCCTGGGTACATGTATTTAACAGATGAACTAAGTGCATGGTTATGATGAGCTGCTGTAATAATATATAGAAAAGCATTATTTCTTTGAAAATCTTTTTCTCTGCCCATTGTTATTAAGGAAACATACTTAGTGCATAGTTATGATGAGCAAGAGTGCCTCTTCCAAAATTGTGAATATCTTTGCCCCATGGGACAGGGGCTCTGGTGTTAGGGTGGGGCTAAATTGAATCTATTGTGAAAATGGATTATTAGAGCCCCGCAAGGATTTGCGGGTGCCCTTTAGTAATCATTCTGTCTGTCTGTCTAGCTGTCTGTCTGTCTGTCCGTGTAGCTGTCTGTCTGTCTGTCTGTATGTCATTCTTCCGTTCACAAATTTTCTGTTTTTTTCGAATAACTTTTTTTAGGGTTGACCAATCAAATTTGGTATGTTGGTTGAATAGGCAGTAAGACATACTTTGATGCTAAGTTTGGTTCTCTATGTCATCGGGTTTGGAGCTGGGGTGGTGGGGTAGATTCCTTAACTCTATATTAGAATGAATGGGCAAAGAGAGATAACTGCTAAGAATGTTCCTATTATAAACTATGAAAGCTGCAATGAATCCAGTGGGATTAATTAACTTTCCTCTTGAAGAAAATCCAAAGCATTTATCTTTATCTGTCACATTGAGATTATTAATACCTCCGTCTGCAAATGAAATTTGATTTGATTGATTGATTGTATGTTGTTTAACGTCCCATTCGAGAATTTTCACTCATATAGAGATGTCACCATATACCAGTGAAGGGCTTCAAATTTTGACCTTTACTCGGCACTCAGGGCCATTAAGCAGTGAGGGATCTTTATCGTGCCAACGCCAGCCGTGACACGGGGCCTCAGTTTTTAAGGTCTCATCCGAAGGACCCGCAACTTTCACTTCAAAGTGCCGAGTGCATGGCGAAGGAACAGTTGCTACCGATTTTTGGTCGAACTTAGGTCAGTCACGGCAGAGATTCAAACTCATGACCTCCCGATCACGGAGCGAGCGCTGTACCGACTGAGCTACCATGAATGGTAAATTTGATTTGAAGCTAAGGTCAATTCTGAATGTTTACATTCTCTGAAATGTAGATTTAAATAATGTTCATACTTTATTTTGGTAAAATACACATTGAGTTTTGATTTTATTCAGGGATTTATCAGCCTATTTTGGGAAATGCCATTTTGGGGGAATTGGGAAAAAATTATCGGCTTTTTTATGAAATTGGGAAAAATTTTAAATCATCGCTTAAATCATGTAGTCAAGTGTAATTTATTTAACATTTCAGCAGGAACTCTAATTTGGGAAACCAAACAGACAATTAAATCCTAACTGATCCAACTTCATCAAACAAGTTCAATTATGAATAATAGACTAATAAAAGTAAAATTGACTTCAATGAGTATAAAGTATTTACCTATACAACTTAGGGTAGTACATGTGTGTATGAGATTCCAACTTAGGTCATTATAGAATATGTTTCTGGAGATTATGAACCTCCTGCAAAAAATTGTGCTAAGTACACATTTTCTCAAAGTCCTCTTTTAATATGTATTAAAACATTGAAAATATATTTTTCTATCTGAAATAATGCCTACAGTCCTTACCATTCACTCGTAGATCAATAACTTAATAAATCTATTCAATTACACAATATCACCTTTTTCAGAAAAACAGAGGAAATTCGGATTAAAAGTTGGCGATGTTTTTACAGTGTTTTTAAACATGTGTTATGACTGTAGCTTTGCTAAATGAGTTATATAGATGAAAATTACAGACAATCTGACAATTTTACTCTTTGTTTTTTCAAAGATAACGAAGTGTTAAAGTATTGTCATCAATTGGGAAAAAATTCTGCCAAATTGGGAAAAACTGAACTCATTTTCAATTGGGAATGGGGCCGAATTTCGGCCCCTGAGAAGGTACTGATAAATCCCTGTTTATTGAATTCTAAAAACAAGATATAGGTAAAGATATCTTTTTTATTATTATTTTATTTTCTTTTTTTTTCTGCTTTATGTAAATTCAAGAATACTATTAATTTTAACAGGTTGTCAGATAATAACCTCATTCTGTCATTGCTGAAAAGTTCTTATTGTAAACTTAGAAGAAATGGATGAGAGAACAGTACAATTAATCCCCTTGGACTGGTTATCTTGCAGGTTGCAGAAAATTTTAGAGGGTTATATAATTATCTTTATCTGTCACTTTAAGATTAATTAACACCGTTGTGTGCAACAGATGTTTGTTTTGAAGTTAAGGTCAAGCCTGGGTGATATTTGCATTCACTGAAGGCTGGCATTTTAGAAAACACATGCTTCATTCTTCTTTAAATATACATTTAATTGAGTTATTATAGATGTGATGTTTTTTTACTGCCTTATGTAAATACAAGGATACTATTTACAGGTTGTTGGATATTTAAGAATTATGTTGAAATTTTATAAATACAGTTGCTTGTTGCTTATTCTTCTTCATATATTTTTAAATTTTTGTAATCAAGTAAAATTCTCATTCCCTCATCCGCACCCTTATATTTCTACCCCTCGGCAGGGCCCTTGCTGACTGGTCAGATTTCTAGTTTCTTGAAAATCTTTTCTGCCTCTGGGCATCAAGGAGGCAAACAAAGTATATTAAGTAGTAAAAAACAAGAGTGTTTTTACCAGATTTTGAAATTCTGTATCCTTTGGTCAATTTATTAATTTCTACTGAAAGAAGTTATTCCCCTTTCTATTCACCTATGATAATTAATCACTGTAAATAATGTAACTTAAAACATCAGTTGAATAAGAGAATTACACAAGTTATCATAGTTATTAATATTAAATATTAGATAAATGAAATTGGGACAAAAATTCTGTATCTTTGTACATTAAATAATCTTCAAAGACCAAGAGAGGCCAATGTGAGATGGAATGAAATGTAATTAATAGTGCTTTAGAACTATAATTGTTTTGTTTAGTCCACACAAGGATAGTGACAAATGGGGGAAAATACAGGCAAATAAATAAATCAACGTAAAGATTTATTACTGAGTACTAAATTAATATTTTGCTGATCCCTGTTAGTAGAGTTGTAAATATAACCTAGTCAGTCAATTCTTGTTATCTTGAACTTGATGGGATGACATAGAACTTGCTAAATGTTGACTTTTAACGAGACTGTTGATATTCTTGTTTCATCAACTTGTTTGTTAATAGCATGTCTCGACAGAGAAAATACTTCAGAGTACATAAAGAAAAGATGGTAGGGATTTCCAACTCACTTCGACATATCCATGGTATTTGAGATTTCAATGTTTGAGTTCAATTGTACTTGATTTAAGCACAGTTCCCAAGTCTGAATACAGAGCAGGA